AGGACTGCAGCGCAATCAGGGCGACCAACCCCACAAAGATGCCATCCCAAGCTTCCCAAGCTTGTAACAAATGATGGAAAAGGCAGCCTAGCCGCGTTCCAATCCAGAACCCACCTGCCCTTCCCCTCACACGCCTTTTCATTTGCAGAGACAATGATTTTGTGTGGTCAGTGCCGAAAACTGTACTGAGGCTGACATGACACATGACGAAGGATGCAACATTGTGACGTTTATCAGCACCTTTTTGGGATGAGCCATGCATTCTACTTCACCTCCGAATCGTAGTTGTGTTCCAAAGTCGACATAACCTACGCATTTGATGACTGGCAGAGGCCAGCCAATGTTCTGGTCAGCGTTTCCAGCCTCCCTAAGAGGTCTGTTACCAATAAGCCTGTCCCAGTGAAATGTGCAGTCGTTATCACTGAATTAAGTCGGGGCGGGTCAGCGGGATATGGCGCGGCGCCACCCCTTTCCTCATCATCCACTGAACGCCCGAACTCGCAACGAAACCTAAGCCCTGCTGGCAAGGACTTCACCGACAGCGAATGTAAAGCTTGGTCAGCTCGGACTGGAATAGATCCAGGACCTGAGCCGCGGACCATACGCCTGGGAAATGGCACCACTTGCCATTATAACCTCTCCCCGATACGACATGAATATTAAAATGAGAGAATCATTCATGAAATGATTGTGGCGCAGTTTGTCGACGGGGGGGGCATTCTGCTTTCCATAGATGTGCCGACCCATCTAGGTAGCCTTTTCTCGAGTTGACACGTTTTAGGATGGTGGCTAGACGATCCTGCACCAGCTTCACAAGGTTCACAAGTTTTACCAGGGTGAGATTTGTAAACCGGAACTAGGGAAGCAATGGTAGTACAAAATGCCCCCCCCCCCCGTCGACAAACAGCGCCATGATTGTTATATACAAGTAAATGAGAGAATAAATATAGTAAAAGTAAAAGTACTAGCAAACTCACGCTGGAAATTCAGGAATCGATTGCTTGTATTGGGGCAGATCGGAGACATATTTGAAGTAGAATCCCTTGACTTTGAAGTACAAATTCATGTACTCCGGAGTTGGGCACTTCTTCGTTGTTGCATGCTCTAAAAAAGGTAAGGTTTGAATGTTTTTTGGTTCAGTTTTTTTTTGTTTTTTCGTCTCTTAGAATAGACATGTTCTCACAGGGCCGATTGGTGAGTTCAGGCGAATCGAAAAACTCCCACGAATACCCCACGAAGCCGCAAACTCGTGAGAATATTGATTATTACTACATTTCCCGAACTCAAATTTGCAAGCGCAAATTAGGCAAAGTAAACGAACAATAAAAAGTTACATATCTAACACCACTGCAGCAATATCTGATCGCGAAAGGTAACGGATAAAAACACAGTCTACGCTGATCGCGTGGGCGGGGACAGTAAACTGCTATGGGCAAAGATAGTCTAGAGGACCACACGGACTATGCTAGCGTTTCTTCCTGTTTTGCTTTTCACCTGCGAAGTGAAAAGTAACGTACCCGTTCATACCAGGCTTCCGACAAGCTGTGGTAAGGCAGATGAAATAAGAGATAACAAGTCGCACCGCCCCGTAGCAGCCCCTCCCCCACCCTTCCCTCCCCGCCCTTTGACTGTCTTTTGCCCCATTCACCGTGCCATCTTCACTGATGTGCCTTTTCTCTCTATCGCTTCAAAATCTGAGGCACCAATGAGGACAGAAATGAACTCCGAGACTGACCTTCAAGCGCCATTTTCAAATCCATTTTATACAGCGTCCACAGGGTGCCAGCGGAGAGATGTCCAACATTCAATTCTTGAGGGAATTGGTTCAAACTTGGCCCGTAGACAGTCTTATCGTCTTCAATCACTCGCATCATGTAGTCAAGAAAGTCGAACCTAAAAGGTAGAAGATAAGTTATAAAGTTTCGAGCATTCACAAAAATGAAAAAAAATGGTACGGCTAAGTTAATATTTCGATTACTAGTCAGCATTTGAATGCCAAATTCGAGGTGAAGGGCATTCACGTGGAAGGTCAGAGTTTTGGGGAGGTGACCTTTTTTAGGAAAGCGAAGGCCAACCTTGTCCTCTGCGTACAGTCGCTGGAGTCGGTCGGGCATGTCAGCGAGGCATGGATTTAGCGCGGCATGAACCTGCTTTCCATGAATGGTTGCCGTCTTGGCTATCGTGCAATTAACGGTGTGGATGGGGCTGGTGCCGCGCCAACACATACCGCTGACACGCCCCGACTGACATCAGTGATAACGACGTACCTTCTGGATTTTCATAGGAAGCTAATTTTGAAATAGTGAGAATTTGTCAAAAAGAATCCCCAAGAACTCACCAAAATTTCACCGATTCCGACGAAGGGGCGCCTTGTTCACAGCATGAGTCGAACAGCAATTGATATGTCGACTATAAAAGTTACAGTAATGACTTTTACAGGCTTTAAGTTGTAAATATAAGAGAAATTTCCCTCTAATATTTGCTCTTTCTCAACATTGGACCGAACCCACTGACTCTCCACTCGCTCTATGTAGCTGGGAGAAGTATAATTCATGGATTGTAGTTATCTTTCCCTGCTCAAAGACCTCGCTGAAAACACCTCGTAAGCGGTGATAACCGATATATCCCCCCCCCCTTGAGCTTCCAAATTCGTCACTGTTCTCCAAAATGAACACCAATTTTGGGATTTCGTATCGCTGAATCTAGTGAAATGGCTGATAACGTCGCAATCAGGCGGGGCGGCGCCAGGAGGGAGACGGGCAAGAGAATCGCAAATTGCCGCTTCGTCGCGCACGGCAATAGGCGCGACGTTTCCTTATTTTGCACTACCTTTTCGAAAGAGCATTGGATTTTATGTAGGCTAGGACATGGTACCTTATGTCTATTTTTGGTCATACATTGTCTATTCTCGACCAATACCACCTAAAATCGTCGTCATTAGCGGGCGCGACGTCGCACGCGACGCCCACTGGCGCGGCGAATTACGATTCTCTTGCCACATACCCCGTCAGGAGGTGGGAAGGAGTCGGCCTCTCCGCTGTCTTTGCCTACCAATAGTGATGGGTTGCCGAGCAATACAGGAAGAAGAAAAGCTCAGTGGTTAAAACGCCGCGGACTCATTCCATCAACTTGAACCCCACTCTCCACGACCGATTGCGGCATTATCGAATGTAGCCCCTTGATGCGAGTATATGGGACAAGAGATCCGGGTTGGACGATTCGGCGGTGCTAGTGAAGTCGCGTGGGCGGCACTCCATTCACGCAATGATCTGTTGTTTCAACGTGGAAGATTTATATTAGGCAACTAGCCGGGGAACATCAGCTACAGTCGTTATCCGGGCACTTGATTAGGCGGTAAAGGAGTCGCGACGCGGCTGCATCGCGTCACGATCGCGGCGATCAGCTGTTTCTTGAGAAAAGCAGCCAAAACAGTGTAAATTAGGGATAAAATGGCTAAAATAGACATAGAA